TTCAATTATCAAAGAACAATTTTGAAGCTGATACAATTAAATTTGTAAAAGAATTTATTGCACCAAAGGTAAAATATTGTTTATATTTTGAAGACCCAGTCTATGAAAAGTTTAGCGCAGTTCTTCAAACATATTTCAAAAATTCCCAAATAAATCTAGTAAAATGCACAAAGAAATTGATAGACGTTACAGATCAAAATGAGATTAAGGATATAATTAAGAATTATCACGAAGGTAAAACCAATCATCGAGGAATCGATGAAACTGATAAAAGAATAAAACAAATATATTATTGGCCGAATTTAAGAAACTCGATACAGACTTATATTAATTAGTGTGAAATCTGTCAGTTAACAAAATACGACAGACATCCGTTAAAACTTGAATATAATATTACGCCAACGCCTACAAAACCATTCCAAATTTTATACGTAGACACCATTTCTTTAGAAAACGCAAAATTTTTGACTATGACTGATTCATTTTCAAAGTACGGTCAGGCTTACATGTTGAACTCTGCCAATGGAGTAGAGGTAACAAATAATTTTATAAGATATTTTACACATCACTGTATACCAGATCAAATGATTTTCGACAATGGCACAGAATTAAAAAAATCAGTAGTCAAAGAACTTTTAGAATTGCATAAAGTCAAAATACATTTTATTAGTTCACAGCACCCAGAATCTAACGGATCCGTAGAACGTTTCCACTCAACGCTCATAGAACATTTAAGATTATTAAATAATCAGGTAGAGTACAAGAACGAACCTATAGAAACTAAGGTAAATTACGCTATATTAGCCTATAATAACACAATACATTCTGTAACCAATCTTAAACCCTATGAAGTGATTACTGGTCATTTCAATGCAGAATCACCTTTTAATATAAACATAGATAAGCAATTATTAAATAATTATTTACAGAATTACAAGGAAAAAATAAAATTAGTATATAGGAATTTATATGAAAAGATATTACAGAATAAAGAAAAAGTTATAAATAAAGCAAATGAGAACCGTGAAGTTTTGCCTGATATTCCTAACAAGGTATATGTTAAGAATAAACAGAAGCAGCAGAAAACTAAAAATAAGTATAAGCAAGAAAAATTAGTATAGATAAGAAATTAAAAAGAGCGGAGATAGATCCCACACATGCCAATACTTCCAAAGATATCCATTTATCCAATATTAAAAGGCCCAGGAAGAAAACTTATCAATTTGAATTTACTAATATTTCAGGTACCTCAGCTATTTCGGATGCGGAGCAGAAATAAGAAACATAACGAACAATTTAGGAATTTTGCCAGTAAATTTAGGCACAGCTAGGCTACAAAAGACAAAACATACTTTTGTGCACTATTATGATCTATCACCTTTATATAAGGAATATGAAGACTTGAATATTCAATACAGTAATCTTAACTATAGTTACAGAAACCATTCTAAGATTAATAACGAGCTAGAAAATTATAGTAAGATAGTATCTTATATAAGGAGCTTGATTCAAGAGAAAATCGAATACATTAAATCTCATTCTCAAAAGACTCGCAATAAGAGAGGACTTTTTAATGGCATAGGCTATGTAGTAAAAACAATAACAGGAAATTTAGACGCCGACGATGGAGAACGTATTGATAAAATTTTATCTCACTTACAAGAAAATCAGCACCATATTCAAAATCAGCTGAGAATGCAATATTCAGTAAACAATGAACTTGTCGCAAAATTTAACGGGACTATTCAAGATATACAGCACAATGAGATGACATTAAGAAATAACATTTTACAATTGAAACATATTTTATTGAACCAGACAACAAACCAGGATATTCTTTCAGCGAAGGACATTATCAATCAATTAATTATCCTCTATAATGCCATATTGAATATTTTACAAGATATCGACAATTCGATAACTTTTTGCAAATTGAAAACCATGCATCCCAGTATAATAAGGACTAGAAAATTATTTCAAGAACTCCGTAAGATATCCACATTTTATAAAAATGAATTACCATTTGAAGTAAAGTATGAAAATATGCTAGATTATGAACCCCAGTATTTGGACCATATTACTATATCTCGTATTTTCAAGTATCTGCTGCATAATTTTATATAGAAGATGGAGAAACAAGAAAGCATCCAAGTTAGAAATCGACATTGAATTAGCCGAGATGAAAGAAGAAGGTCCAAGTCCCACAAAACGCACTAGAAGAGAAGATTCCAGTTCAAGATATAAGAAGAAAGAAATTCACCTTCCAGGGGAAGCCTCATTCTAGGGGTGGAGGAGTTATGTACCAGTCTATAGAGAAGAAGATGCTGAACAAGGACTTTTGCCTCCACGTTCCTTTCTTATCAGTTTCAGTATTGTATTTCATTTGTTCTTTACTTTGGTTTGTATAATGCACTTTGCAGTCAGTCTCGATTCAGAACGCATTCAATTAACATCGTTTTATTTGGTTTTTCTCAAAAATAAATCTTTTTAAAAACGTTTTCGTTGAAGAAAGATATTTGAGTTGTATATGACTTGTAATTCGACAGTGTACAGTGAATATAATTATTTCTTATTTCTCTCATTTTTGAAATTCAGCAAATTTGCATACGTTATTTCCAGAATGAATAAGAAAAAGTTGATGCGCAACTAATTTCCAGCTTTGAATCTCAAGTGTATTTGAGACAAGAATGAAATGGAATTATCATCAACACATATTGCCGTTACCTCCAGTAATGCCATCTCTGAAGCAGATTTTACATCACATCAGAACCAAACATTGATAACTGAATCCTCATGACGTTTAGGCAACACGTACAACTACAAAACAAGTACACAACGTGTCCCTCAGCTAGTGCTAGGTTAAGATCTCGTAGAAAAACCTACATAACGTCACAAAAAAAATCGACATAATGTCACTTTTCAAGATTCATAATACCCGTGCGGAATGAAGTGTAGGAAGTATAAGAGGTGACAGTGGCCCACTTATGTATGTCGACTATGAGGTTTTGGATGAAGTGAACGATGACCCCATCACTTCAATCAGGAATATATCACGTATGATAGGGAATCCTAAAAGCACTATCCATAACATCTTTCTGCGTATAATGTTAAGAAACACTGATAAAAAATTCCCCATTTTTCGACAAAACTCTGTGGAGTGACGGGTCTTCATGCAAAAAAGCTGAATACGCGCAATCTGCACAGTTGGCAAATGGAGAATCCCCCTGCAATAGGTCAAAATCGTTCTCAGACACAGTTAACGAGGTAAATCCACTGGACTTCCTAAGAAACCGACTGTCTAATCTGTTGGAAGATGTTCCCGGCCTGGCCGCGAACACCTAAGTCAACATTATCCAAGAAAGTGGATCGGACGCCCTGGTCCTATCAACTGGTCACCAAGATCTCCGGGCCCGATAGGCCTCTTAGGAAATATCACAAAGGGAGTATTCTCACAAACTAAAAACATTATTTATTAAAAGGTGCAGGAAATGCATAAGGACCATTGTGTAAATACCTAGGCTAGAGAATTTATCAATACAACATCAATCCTGACCATTATTCCTTATTCGAGTCATAAAAGCATTTTTTGAAAATCGAGATATATCCACCTCTGCCTGCTTTTTTCTGAGCCGCCACTGGACTGATTTTCAAAAACTACAGAGCTTTTGCGTCCTTGGCAAAGTAGTAACATTGTTTAAAATTTTCATCGAAATCCGAGTGGTACTTCTCACGTTATAGGCGGTTAGAATATTAGCGGACAGGCAGACAGACTGAAAGACTGACGGACCGACCGAAATAAGTCACATGGTTTTTTGTGGTGTACATGTCAAACAACATCCAAAAAATATCAATTCATTTTAAATTTTACCATGAGACCTTTGACTAAGCAAAATTTTTGGACACCCCATTACTCACTCACACATTACTCAAAAAGCTGACCTAAGACATTTATGGAAGTTTAACAGTATAACTGTTGAGGACAATTCGGCTAAAATATTTTCAAAATGGTGGCACTTCCAGTTTTCCCGAAAATAGATACCAATTTGCTTATTTTATATAAAACATCCTCCATATTAGACTTTTGGATACCGCGCGAGATTATATTTAAATACATATATGCATACATACATATATATTATATATAAATACAGGCCAGTAAATAGTAATAACAAGCTTTTTTCGTAGTTTTGCCTTTGCGATATGATTTGTAATGAGTTTCTTGTAGTGGATAAGTTTTATTCCAGATCTAGATAAAAAATACTATACGGCGATTAAAAAAGGAGAATGGAAATTGGATTTAAAAAACTTGAAATCAATTTTTTCAAATAGAAACCAACCTCATTTATAATTTGATCGTACTATGCGCTGAGAACAGGTTGATTTTGTATGACAATGTTTACGTCGCAAGTTAGTAGTTTTCGTATTTTTGCCTTTGCGATATGATTTGTAATGAGTTTCTTGTAGTGGATAAGTTTTATTCCAGATCTAGATAAAAAATACTATACGGCGATTAAAAAAGGAGAATGGAAATTGGATTTAAAAAACTTGAAATCAATTTTTTCAAATAGAAACCAACCTCATTTATAATTTGATCGTACTATGCGCTGAGAACAGGTTGATTTTGTATGACAATGTTTACGTCGCAAGTTAGTAGTTTTCAAAATATACGGAAATACTGGTATTCATATTGCTTAAATGCTCCATACATTTTTTTTATCAGTTAATCACAGTTGGCCTTAACGCGGCGACAAGCGATGAGCAATAGAAAAACAATATTTCCATGTACCTTGAAAACTATTAATTTGTGAAGTAGACAACTTTATACAAAATTGTTTTCAATGCTTAATATGATGAAATCAAAAAAAGGTGGTATCCATTTGAAAAAAGTGACTTTTTGTGTTTTATAAAATCTAGTTTCTATCCTTTTTTGAACACCCTATACTATGCGAGACAAATCATATGGAAAAGGCAAAAATAAAAAAAAAATGTTATAATTCATTGGCATGCATTTGTATTAGTTTAAATTTGAGATAGGTCAAAAACGGTTAGACTTAGGTATATGTTGATAAATTTCATACTAAAGAGGGTATTCTATTTAAAATAAGCAAGTTGGTACTCCTTCCGGTATAAATGGGAGAGCCACAATTTCGAAAATATTCTAGCCGAATTTATCGATCAGTTATATGTTAAAGCCAGACTTTGATAAATGTCTTATGTCAACTTTTTGAGTAATTGATCGCCGCAGTTCTACGTGAAACACCCATATATACTTCCATATAAGTATTTTTAAATCTTTCATTTACCTGTAATCATAGAGCTGAACAATAAAGCAGGGAAGTAATGATGGAAATATAGCACTCGTCCCATAGCCCAAAATGGGACATAGTGTAATAACCACCCGGAAAATAACCAGGCGCATGCAACCAGTTTCCTCTTGTGTCCATCTGGAATATAAAGGAGCCATGTATAAAATCATTCGCATTAGTCCAGACGAAATGCGGTAACAAATTTGTAAGTTTTTAGAAATTCCCACGAAGCTGAAAATTGGCACATGGCAAATTTTGCAGATCACTAATTCTCGTAAACACTGCCTCAAGGAATCAAAGCACTTGGATAACTTTTACAGATAATTGTATTCTCTACAGTATTTGTCAAGGTATTTTTGTAGTATTTATTTTCCTTTTTGAGAAATATTATGCATAATGGTATAATCAAGGTATGTGACATTTTTCAACTTTGTGGGAAGTTTCGCAAACGTATTATTTATTAACTAGTCATACAGCTATCGTTCGTCCGACCGCAGACAGCAAACCATAAACAGCTGTTTTGTGCTATCTGGCAGCTCTTCAGCATGGTGTAGGCCTTGGCGAGGTGTACAACACACAAAAGCTGAGCAGCTCTACTTTCTTCAGAGTATAGAGTCTATCGAAATAAGATAGCACAAAATGCAAGCTGTTACCAGAATCGACCACTGCAAAAGTGAAAACAGCAAGCTGTCTGTTGGAACTGTATGCATTGCCAGCCGGGTCATCACCGTGACCGCTAGATGCTACCGATTCTGGTCACCACTGTGGCTACTAGAGTACCACAGCGGCCACGGTGGTGATTTGGATGACGATTTAACCGGCAGATAGCCAACTTTATTTAGCAAAGAGACGTCTACATGCAAATTGCACTCTAACAGCGAAGTTGTCAGATGGGATCGGAGTGATTTCTTTAGTAGTAATAAAATATACTGCATTTTCAATCCAAGAGATACTTTTTTATTCTTAAACATGATACTAACCTAGCCAAGGAAATATCAACCCTCAACCCACTTCTGTTCGGAAGTGTTCCCAGGATTTCATACTCTTACAGTTTCTCGGCGACGAAGATATATCCAACGATCTGCCCAATATTCCGATTAGCGGCAACGAGGCAACGCGATATTGGGATGTTAAACTTCCAAAATCCACCCCACAGATCAACGTAACTGACAAACATGGAGTCCCTCATAGATAGCGCACTTCATTTTCGAAACGATTTGTTTAAAATTACAGGTAATGAAAATATCATTTTCAAACTTTCTGGGTAGCTGTAAAGCACACATATGACGAAAAACTGGAGCAAGAACTTTGTAAAACGCCACTGTCGTCCTAAAAAATATTCACAGCTGAAGATATCAATCCGTCTAAAAGTGGCAAGTTTTCAAATTATTTATTATGTATAGGTTTATATGGGTATAATTTTTAATTTAATGCCTTACGGATGTTTTGTTTTCAATGAGACTAAGACTCCTAAGAGAATTTTGCCTCAGCAGTGATCTGTGGCTGAAGAACATGTAAATAGGCAATCGAAGAACAAGTTGTAACATGAAGGAACTGTATTTTTTATCAATGAGCGGGAACAGCAAGCTGACTTAATGAGGAAAGATATATGTGCATACACAGACGACTCCAAGACCGGAGCTAAAGATTGAGGAATCAGTCAGCCTAAGAACCTAGGCATCGATTTTCCAGTTAGAGTTATATGCTATACAGGGTGGCCCATCCATGTGTGGATGGAATGTTATACAGTGACATTTGAGGGCGCATTTCAAAAAATTTTGCAAATATACAAGGTGTCCAAATTTTATTGTATATTTGGATAAACAAATTCAAAAGAAGAAGATTGATATAACATACTATTGGGTTTTGGTAATTAGCTACTGAGATGTAAGGTGTTTTGTCCAGAAAAACCGTCCACTTCGGCAACCCCTCAATCCGCAATTTTGAAATTTGGAGTGCTGAATTTTGTATAAAAAAAAACTTACACACCTCAGCTTTTATCTTATTTGTTACTTTTTCGAATTTTCATGTTTGCCCATACAGGGCGGTTAAAAACACGAATTGTACTTTTTCTTAAAAATTTCAAATGCATCACCCTGTATATGTGTACAAGTTGGGATTCAATTTTTTATAAGCTTTTTTTTGGTATTAGGTTTGATGCAGATAAAATCACTAGATTCACCAAAATTAATGAAAAAACACGTCATCCACGGAAACAAAAGACAGACTGAGCTAGTTCCATATTGCCACTAAGAGTACAGATTTGACGTAAAAACTAATAACAACCAGAACAGTATAAATCAGCTTCTAGCGTAATAGAGGAAAACAACTATAACAACAACATAAACAAACAACTATCTCTCCCCAAGACCTAATCTACAAAAACTGATCGAAAATATCTCCACCATGTTGCATACACAGCCGTAAACAAAACTTTAATAGAACCTCCAACTGATTCGCCTCATTGGTGACACTTGGATTATTTATACATTTGTTTCTATATTCCACTGCTCCACTTGATTCAAAACGTTCTCGTAGCGTGGAAAGTGTTTCCGGTCTTGGATGTCGCATATTAGGGTACCGTTGCTTATAAATGCGAGATGCTAGGAACCTATTTCTTTGGGCTTCGCCCAAAATGAACACGATATTCGCCATTTCTTCTTTAGAAAAATTCATTTTCCAACACGTTTTTATTATAATGCTCACAAAACTAATTTTGACAGTTTGTAACTAATCAACAATTTTTTTGTTTCCAAGGATGATGCGATATTTTAGGGAATTAAGCCGTTCCATAAAAGATGTGCTAATAACAGAAAAAATAGGCGTAAAAACCCTTGTGTCTGGTATCAATCAAACTTTTTTTTTGATTCAAAATTCAGCACTCCAAACTTCAAAATGGCGGACTGAGGGGTTGCCGAAGTGGGGGGATTTATTAGACAAAACACTTTATATCTCAATAGCTAATTACCAAAACCCTATAGTATGTTACATCAATTTTCGTCTTTTGAATTGGTTTATCCAAATATGCAATAAAATTTGAAGCAATCTATTTGAAAAATCACAACCTTGATATGTAGGGCGAAATTGGGACACCCTGTATAATGGCCAATATTTTAGAAATGTGCCCTAAAATGTCATGTATAACATCCCATTGATAGATTTTCTCAAAGTGTATTTGTTTATGAGTAATATTCCGTCCACACATGGATGGGCTACCCTGTATATATACCAGTCAGGTGAGAAAAGCTTCAGCCTCTAGTTGGGTACTTCGACAAGATTAAAGCAATAATGAACTATTCCATCATCATCAGGAGCTACAGTAACAGGAAAAATAGCAACTAAAAGTGCAAGATTGATTTTACACTACTTACAACAGTACGTGAGTTTGTTCTAAATGTTATTATTTGTTAGGTTGCTGGAAACATTTAGCAGCCTGGTGAAATCTGGATTCATGGTACATTCGTTAAAAATATTAAAAAATACACACCTGTATGGCAGGAACACAATGGATTAAGGATTATTTGGAGTGAATGTTGAAATTTTAACAATATATACATCGTCGAAGACCACCTGTTGCTTGACAAGATGGTGCACGACACAAGATCATCGGAACCAGGGAGAACACATTACAGCTGACAAATGGCTGATAGGAGACAGTGTCAACGGATGGAAAAAATGTGTGGGAGTTTTGTGATATGTTACCAAATCTACTTGAAAAAGTATAATTTTCCAAGACAATGCCAACTACTTATTTATCAAAAAACCAGAAGCAGTTGAAAAAACTATACTGTTGATTTAATAATTATTTATTATGAGGAAACAATTATTAATTTGGACAAAGGAAAAGTGTAAAGAACTTTGATACTTGTGTATCAGGTGGCCTGTTGTATTGTCATGTGATGCCAGAGCACATCTCTCAGGATGCAGTCTAGAATTACTTTTGTGCGAAATTATCCTTCCTTTCAAAGATCTGGGAGTCTGGCCTATGTATATCAGATTGCAATTGTTGTAATTGATGGGAGTACACTGTATTGGATGACCTAAGCAACAGGTCTATGTCTTTCATCTTTGAAAAGGTGCAGTTAATAGTGAGGACGGATTTGCAAGCAATTCGACAGTTCACCGAGCTACATAGTCTGATCAGTTTACGAGTTAATTCTTTGATGTAGGGTAGCACAGCAAAACTAGGTCTGGAATTTGGAACGGTGGCTGTATTTTTACCAGAATTCGTGTTATTATTGGGAATTATGTCTATTCTATTATGGGGAGCTGTAGGAATATGTTTTGAATTATTATTGTTTGACAAAATATTAAACGGAGAGCTGAAATCTACGGAAGCTATCAAAACTGTTCATCAACAACGGTTAACCGAAGTATTTGATCAACAAGATCATGTTCAGCTCTCGTGATACATCAAATAATTAACCCCATAAACTAACCAGACTATGTAGAACTGTCGAATTGTTTGCAAATCCGTCCTCACTATCAATTGCACTTGTTCAAAGAGTCCCGTTGCTTAGATCAGTCAATACACAATTGCAACAATTGCGGTCTGATATACATATACTTCCTGATATTCGAAAGGAAGAATAACTTCGCACAAAAGTGATTGCAGACTGCATCCTGAGAGATGTGCTCTGGCATTACATGTCAATACAACAGGATACTCGACGAACTATACAAGTATCAAAGTTCTTGATAGGGAAAAACATCTATCCAAATGTTTCAAGATTCCTTGCTTAAAGTTCAACTCGTGTCTATGATGCCCATTCCGATGATTACCTCTACCTCAATATCAGCTACCATCGCCGGATGTTCGAATGTAGCTTTTCCTATTCCAAATGCGATGTTTACTTCACCATACACGTTTGCTCGGTCTCCCGTCGCCGTTCGTAGTCGCCACTTGGATGGTCGAATCTTCGCCGATGCTTTCATCATGTCAGGCCTTATGATAGTCTTTGTCGCACCTGTATTCAGCAGTACGGTGTGGAGAGTCCCATCCACAAAAGCATCGACAAAAACACTGAGTGATGTTTAAGGGAGGAGACTTGAACGGTATTAACCGATGGGGCTTGTTGGCGACAGGTCGACGACTGCCCCTTCACATCGACCTCCCTTAGTTTTCTGGATTGGCCGGATGACGACTAGCACCTTCAGGGCAGCGTTTCCTAACGTGCCCTATTTTTCCACATTCCCAACAATCCCACCTACTGTTCTGGCGGCGACGTTCACCATCAAGTTCCTTAAAAATGCGTTTGACGGATTCTTCGAACTCGTTACCTCCTGGTACCATCTGGCGGACTCGGACTTGGCTCTTGTTTGTGTTTTATCGGCTTCGAATTCTAAGGCCCGAGTTAGCGCACCTACTAGCTTAGGTGGATGTGCTAGTAGTAAGGCTCGCCCCATTTCACCATCACGAAGTCCATCCAGGAATGCTTGAACTGCCAATCGCTCCATTATCCTTTCCTGAACATCGGGATATGCTAATCGTACCAACCGCGCAATATCCGCTTCGAACTCCTACAAGGACTCGCCTGACTACAGGAACCGATTCTTTAGTTGAGTATGGTAGACATGTTCTAAATGTGACCGGCCGTATCGCATCTCCAATGTCTCACTAGTTGTTCGTAGACCTCTTCGGGTGATATTCTTTGAAGAATAGCTGCAACATCTCCTCGTAGGGCCAAAGTAACTGCAGCTGCCTTTTCAATCGCTGACCCATCATTTGCATTCGCGGCTGCCTCAAACTGATGCGGGTAGACATTCCAAGGCGTCGTACCATCAAATTGCGGCGGTTTCACTCGCAGATGACCAGCTGACCCAACAGAAGCTCCAACCTCACTTGATTTTTCCAACGGAAGTCCACGCTGTCGTTGGTCGATGGTCTTGACGTCTAAAGCGACAAACTTGCCTTGCACTTCTTGAATTCTGCCCTCAAGGGTAAAAATCCGTTTTTCCAACTCGCAAGATTTTTCCATAATTTTATCTTCCAATTCTTTCTTTAAATTAGCAATATTTTCCATAAACTTCTCTTCTACTTTGGCTGTACTTTCCAAGAGTTTTGCTTCTAGGTTGGCACAATTTTCCACGAGCTTTCTTCTAGGTTGGCACAATTTTCCATGAGCCTTCCTTCTAGGTTGGCACAATTTTCAACGAGCTTTCCTTCTAACTTGGCCGATTTTTCTAAAAGATCGGCACAATTTTCCACGAGCCTTTTTTCTAGCTTGGCTGAGTTTTCTAAAAGATCGGTGGTCTTGGTCGAAATGTTTTACAGCATTAAACCATATCTCCTGCACCGGTAAAAATGAAAATATCCGGGTCCTCACCTTCCTCAATCAGTGCTTGACGAAGCCGCTCCTGTAATTCTGCTTTCTTTCCAGCCGTGTCGTACTCTCTTTCTTCCAGCTCTCTCTTTAAATCGGCAATTTTCAAATCCACCAATCGCGCCATTCTTCCTTCCCTGATCGTCCGATGTATTATAACTAAATGTCCAATAATCCACATCCCACTACAGACACCAATGTAGCGTTTTTCTGGGTTCTTTTGGGTGTGGATTAAAACACTGGATTCCACTCTGCTCTGGTGTAATTTGTACTCTCTGCTTCTATCTCCCGGCCGCCGAGTTATATATAGTCCCAATTGCTGCTTCGAGAAACACCGGGTGAACCACAAAGCGAGATCTAGAATATTGGAGGTCACTTCGCGTTGATCTAGAAGGCGATCCACTGTCACGGTCCTCACAGACGCCGCTAAGCGGCTTGTGCGGTCGTGGTTCGCGTAAAAGCAGAGATCGGCGATTCAGCTCTGGCGAGTAGAAGACTCGCCCAGCAGATCGCGCCAACAGAACTATTTGTCACAATATAATATTGAGCTAGATGATAGCAAAACATATGACACTTATAGTTCAGGTAACTTTGACCGATTTTATGACGAACCTAGATCAGATAATAAATACGACCAATACAATTTTGATCAAAATGAAATATTAGGCCCATCTGATCCACCTTCGAAATCAGAAAATCAAAATTTTACCAAAGCAAGCCTGGCTACCAAGTCACTATAAATTCAGAAACTATATCATTCAACTCTATTGGTTCTAATTCGTTGGTTCTAATGGCCTTAGCTATATAGTTTTTCCAGAGTGCAATATCAAAATTTCGATAGAATCCGGCTCAAATAGATCTTTTATAGATCGAGAGATTGCTTTAAATTTTTTTTCAAATCAGGTAATGGAGGAACCTGTCACTGTCTCAAGTGTATTCCACAGATCAACACACAAGTTTAGTGCTTTAATACCAGCATCAAACATTTTCAACTTGCCTCATCCAAAGAAAGTGAAATTTTACCTATTCAAGTTCCACGATGTTTTCAAAGGTTGAATTGGTATTGACAATCTCATTGAATTAAACACCATACACTTTGGAGATAGCTATCTAGTTACAGCCTCTACGAGAATCACGCTACTTAAATGCTAAAGACAATTTTAATTTTTTATCTGTTGAGCCACACACAAAGTCTATCGATGAAACAAAGACATCAGTATGTGAAGGAGAAATTCGTGTGAAGAAATCAAAGAAGCAATCAAAAATTTTACAAAATTGTCAAAAACCAGAATATCTAGTTGATCCCAAGAACAGTGACAAAGACAGTAAACCTGCCAAGAATTTTGAGCAGCGCAACAGAACTAGACGTCATGTTGTCGCTAAAGTTTCGAGACAATTTGATGATCTTAAAGCTGTATACACGAAGGTTTTAGATACTTTACATTCTGTTGGTTTGTTTCATGAAACTGCAAAAATTCATTCTGCTTATTTAGGTACTTCACACCGATGGCCATATAAAAATTCAATTTTGATGTCTACTGTCTTCTGGGCTACAGTGTAAGGTACCAGTTTCTGGAAAATTCAACAAAGCACTTATATGGATAACTGGAAACGTTTTCTCCTCAAAATCTTATCATTTATCGTAACAAGTTATATTTCTGCAAATACCACAAACAAACATACATGCATGTATTAACCCTAACGCCAATGATGGAGAACGTTTCGAAAATCTAATTCGAGAGCTTCAAAATAATCAAAGAAAATTAACCAACAGCATTACACAGAATAATGCCCTGTCAGTGTCCCTTATTGATAAGTTCAATAAAACTGTTCAGCAAGTCTGTCATAATGAACAATTGCTGAATGATACAATTAATACCATCTATGCAATTGTTCATGGTGCTACAATCGATTCAGATCACCATAAATTTTTAGTAGACACAGTATCTCAAATTATGAACACCTATGAAGTAATTCTGCCAATATTACAAGATGTTGAAAATTCATTAATTTTTGCACGTCTTGGAACAAATCACTCTAGCATTATTACAACCGAATAACTTTTTGGAGAGCTGAAACTATTGAGCTCAAGATTAGGCTAAGAAAAATTTGAAATCCCCGTTTTACTAGGTATCATATCAATTTTTGAAAAAATAATCAAAATCTGTGGCCAACAAAATTACATTCATTTTATCACTGCCAATCTCATAGTCATTTAATTTACATCGTCTCTTTCCAATTCCGATATATTTTGAAACTCAATTTAAGAAATCATTGCAAAAGAGCCTTATTTGGCAAGAAATGAATCGCACTTTGCACTTTTCGGCGACATTTGCACTGAAATTATTACTCTGCGAGAAGGCCGACACATCAGTGGTCCATTACCCTGTGAACTTGAACTGTTCTATGGAAGAAACGCCCCTGCAAGTGACTGGACTCCACTCGTAATCAATCGGCCAAGTATCAAACGAATCCAACGAACTAATCAATTAGTATTGATTCTGCCACTACCAGAAGTTATCAAAATTGAATGCCACGAAGAAATGTAAATGAAAACATTGACGGGAACTTACCTACTCCATATTACTGCGATTGTCGCGGGACAACCTATAATCTTCCCGGATTTAAATCTGGACACAAAAGGCGACATCCCAGAAACAAATTTAAACCTGCATCTAGAAAAAATCAAGCTGGACGAGTTGAGTAAAATCAATTCAAGCATTATCAACAACAAACACAACTTCAGAAAACCTGCAGACTTTTTTATACCCAATGACTGCACTGATAATATATGGATGTATATTACTCTTGGGTGTCTACGCATTCTGGAAAGCCATCTTGAAGAGGAGAAAGCTCAGAAATAGATGTATTCAGAAGTCGAACTTCATCCTATTCAACTTCCTTGAAGAAATCTTCCCCGAAGTTAAATCTCAGGGGGGAGGAGTTATATCAGCCGTAGTCCTGCTGATATGCTAGGAATAATGCTCACCATGCCACTAATTTCCTAGAAGACCTAGAGTTTACTTTATTGTTCTCAACACATATTATAGTCAGTCAGATTTAAGTATTTGTGTTAACATCATAATAATATTGTAATAATTTTGTAAAGGTACATTTTTGAGTTTGTATTTTCGAAAAATAAACTTTTTTAAAAAGCGATCTGGAGGCATCGATCTTATGACTCATGTGTTCAGGACATTTCCTTAAGTTTATGTCATACCATAAACTAGGTATCAAGATCTATTTGGTGAAACAGATGAAAACAAGGGTAATTAGCATTTCTGACAATACTTTCCATGCTTCAAACCTACGAAAGCTATTAAAATTGTTCATCAAGAACGGTTATCTGAAACATTTGATCAACAAGATCCTGTTCAGCTCTCTGTCTAATATTTTGCGTAACATTAATAATTCAAACAATATCCCCACAACTCCTAATAATAGAATAGATATAATTCCCAATAATAACACTAATTCTGACTATGTAGCTCGTTGAACTGTAGAATTGCTCTCAAACGCGTCCTCACTGTCAACTGGACTTTTTTAAATATGAAAGTCCTGAGAGTCCCGTTGCTTAGCCAATACAGTGTCCTCCATCAATTGCAACCATTGCAGTCTTATAAACAGGCAAGACTTCCTGATCTTTGAAAGGAAGGATAACTTCGCACAAAAGTGATTCCAGACTGCATCCTGAGAGATGTGCTCTGGCATTACATGTCAATACAACAGGATACTCGACGAACTACACAAGTATCAAAGTTCTTGATAGGGAAAAACATCTATCCAAATGGTTATTCCTGGAAATGGCTCACATTTTCATGAATAACGACTCTATGAACAAAAAGGCAGATGTGAAGCAACTTAGCGTCATATTCTCATATTTGCTGCGAAAAGTTAGAACGCTTACATATCTCTCCAAATTTTGAGAGATTGTTAAATGACGCTGTAAGAACTTTGCTCAACACTCAGAGAAATTGTATAAGGAACCTTAGTAATGTTGACATTCCTAATGATATTGTAGAATTTCTTTCCCTAGGCCCTATATTTAGTATTGAACCGATTGTTAACAATGACATTCCAATGAGATCCATTCTAGCTGATGTATACCTAATAGCTTCTTCCATAAGTGATGACATAGAAAGAAACATTTTTACAACCCGTTCCACTAACCTCATCGCGAAGTTTTACCACAACAACAATCTCAATAAGAAACATTCTATCACAACCTCTTAAATAAAACAAGAAAATTTCTAAAAGAAAACCTGAACTGATTGTCACAAGACCAGACCATGGTAATGTTACAGTAAGGATGTTAATACATCACTATTTGGATCTATGCAACAACTTCATTAATGATGATCCATCATATCATGAAATAAATAGAGACCCTACATCAAGGGTGAAAAAAGAAGTAATGACATTGTTAATAAACTTCTTAACACTAGACAAATAACTCAAAAACGAAAAAGATATATCAGTAAGACCTATAGTAGCATCCATTGGTTCAGCTACGCAAGCTCTGTACTCATTAATATCGGAAATATTAACATCGGCTCATAGTGAAAATCAATACTACTTTAAAGACTCTTTTGACGTCTCTCGCCAGTTAAACGGGTTAGAAATACCACCTGATCACATTATCGCCAGTCTTGATATGGTGTCTTTATTCAGCAATATCTATCAGTATTTGGTTAACAGAATCTTGTTCAGCTCTCCTCCGAATATTTTGCCAATCACTAATAACAATAGTGAAAATGACAACACGGGTCAATCAAACCAGATACCCATTATTTCTTCAACTAATGGGAACAACAGCACTACAGTGGTTGCTCCTACTTCCAGAGTTAACTATGTTGTCTTGCCATACATCAAAGAACTAACACCAAAATTGATCAGGCTGTATAATCCCTTTAATTGTCGTTTTGCTTGTAAATCAGTTCTCACAGTCAACAGTTTGTTGTCCAAAATGAAAGATAAGGTTCAGTTGCTTGATTCTACCAATACTGTCTATCGTATTAATTGCAACAACTGCAATTTAGTTTATATAGGCCAAGCTTCTAGGTCACTGAAAGGCAGGATAACCTCACACAAAAGTGATGCCAGATTACATCCAGAAAGATGTCACTCTATGAATTATGGCAGTATTGAGGTTCTTGATAAAGAAAAAAGACTCTCAAAACGTCTATTTTTAGAAATGTCCCACATTTTCATGACAGATCATTGCATGAATAAAAAGCCTGATGTTAAGCAGCTCAGTGTCATTTATTCCTATCTGTTGAATTGCGAAAAGCAAGTACTTTCCGCCAGTAAATTTTCCAAGTGTAAAGCAGGCATTACTCGTCGGTGAGGTTGCAGCCACAAGGTGTTTCAGAACGAACGTAGAGAAGATCGAAATTGTAATCAGTATAAAAAACAAAAGGACGGGGACATTGGGTTTGTTGTAAAACGACCACCTTCGTTAAATGTGAAAAATATCAATCCACCCGAACAAGTTAAAAATATTACATATGAGACGACATTTTGTTAAAACAATCGGAATGCAGATTCTAACCTTCTGTACTCGCAACACGTGGAGAGGGGGACGGCACTGAAAGATAAAGCGTCGACAGATGACAAGTGATTGACGCGACGGACCGTGGAAATGTAGACCTCTCTGTCCAGTTTTGGGTATGAAGTATACGAAGAAAAAAGACTCTCAAAACGTTTATTTTTAGAAATGTCCCACATTTTCATGACAGATCATTGCATGAATAAAAAAGCTGATGTCAAGCAGCTTAGTGTCATTTATTCTTGTTGAATTGCGAAAAGCTAGAACGTCTACATATCCAAATTTAACCAACATCTTCACAAAATTAGAATATTTTTTCTCACTCACATTTTTAATATAAACTCACAAAACCCATCTTTTCATGGCTGTATCAATATAACACATTCTTATACTCATATGAGCTACACAAGACAAGTTAATTCAGCATTTTAGTAATTTTGGGTGGAGGTTTACCGAGCGTCCCTCGTATACTTCATACCCAAATCTGCACATTTCCACGGTCCGTCCCGTCAATCACTTGTCATCTGTCGACACTTTATCTTTCCGTGCCGTCCCCCTCTCCACGTGTTGCGAGGTTAGAATCTGCATTCCGATTGTTTTAACTAGTGATGTGCGATACCGTTATTTCCCAATCACATTGTTAATTGCGATTGTGACTCTTAGATAACAGTGATTTTAAAGCGTGACGTGATCACAACATTTGCAAAAAGTGCACGTTGGGTATGTAAAAAGAATATAAGTGGCTGTGACCGAGATTCATGTTAAATATTGATATAATATGACCCAAATTATTGTCCCTATTGATTTTAAAGAATGTGATAATAATATTAAAATGGTTTATATTAAAAAAAAACAAGAATGAGGATGTATAATAAAATTATGAAACATAGCTAATAATAAATAAATATTTATTTTTAAAAATGAACAAAATATATAAAATATGCGATTTTTGGTGATAAATAGGAAACGAAAATAAGAGCCATTCTTATACAAACAATAAAAATAAATTAAAATAGTATTTCTGTTACTGCTTAATAATAGTAACTAAAGATGAAAACAACAATATGTTGAAAAATAGTAAAAAAATAATATAATAAAAGTAAACATATTAGGAACAGAAATACAACAGTCTTAGTCTCAGTCTTTGCAATATTTTAAATTTGAATTAAGGAATGAAACAATTTGAACTTTTTTATTGCTCAACCTATTCCGCTGTTCAGAAAGAACCTGGCCTGCTGTGGAGAACAAACGTTCGCATGGAACGGGTAGCTAAAACGCCCAGTTTTTCCTGTGCAACTGTAGCTAAACAAGGGAACATTTGCTCATGGCTCCGCCACCACAGAAGAGGATCGCTCTGTCGTGGTAATATTTCTTCCTCAAGGTATCTCTGAAGTTCAATTATTGCTCGTGACATAGATGTTCATTTAGGTTAAGTTTGAGCCACAATTTTATCGAAGTCACCAAAAATATCTGCTTCTGCATCATCTACCGGAGTTTCTTTGATAAGTTGTTCTTCCGGTTTTTTCTGATTTTCGCGTGTCACTTCATTTATTTTTTCTACTATTATTTCGGTTACCGTCTTTTTTATGTCATCGGCTGTATAATGATTTCTAAATGCTAAATTTTTGAACCTGGGATCAAGATACGTGCTGACGGACAATGTTTGACTTGAAACAAAGAATTCCATCTTGTTGGTACTTCTAGAATTAGCTTCAATGGATTTTTTCCCAGGTTTTCCTGATATTTCAGGAGCTTGTTATTTGAAATGGTACTTTTTTAAAGTGATTGACTATTTCTCTGATTTTTTCTAAAACACTCAATATTTCATCATTCTTTATACTGTCTTTGACAATTAGGTTAATAGTATGTGCAACACATCCCATATGTCTCCAGCCGATTTGCTGCAATGCCTTCTGTATATTTGGAGCATTATCTGCTACAGCAAAGGTAACCCGATTTTCGATTTTCCAATCTCTTGTAACCCTTTTCAGATCTTCAGCGAGGTTCTCAGCTGGGTGACGCATGTCAGTTGCGGAACATTCCAGAAGTATCGACTTAAAATTGAATTCGCTGTCCAAAAAATGTGCTGTTACACCAACATAACTAACGTCGTTAATTGATGTCCAGGCATCTGTTGTAATACAAAACGTTCTGCCAGTATTTATTATTGTTTTGGTATTAGTGAGACATTCTTCATATAAAGCAGGGGTCAGAGTTTTAGAAATGATATGTCTACTTGGCAGCTCATATGAGGGATTCAATGCTAATACGAATTCTCTGAATCCAATATCAGCTACTACTGAAAAAGGTTGAAGGCCTTTAATAAATAAGCCAAGCAACTTTTTATCTAAGTTGTCTTTGCTTCTAACAGATATTTTTGGAGGCACACGGAACTAATTGTCGACCCTGGTTTGATCTTGATGTGACTTATTTGTTGAACTTTTGACTAAAGCCCTTCGACCTTCCACGGAATTAAGTGATGAAACTTCTGAAACAGATAGACGATCGTTATCAATACTTTCGTTATTCTAAAATAAAGCATATAGGTAAGTAATATGTATTTTTTATTATTGAATAACGACATTGTTGCAATGCCTGGCCATTTTCTTTATGTTGGGCTACCACTGTTGACCTCTTGCTTTCCAAAAAAGTGATTGTGACCGTAGGATGTTTCTTTTGTATGTGCTTTTTTAAATTTGACGAGCTCGTCTTATATGAAAGTTTTGATTTACACATAGTGCATATTGCATGACTTTCGTCTATCGGATCAAAAAATTTCCATATTTCACTCGTTTTCTTTTTAACCGAGACGGAGACCGAGACCAACCAAAAAGAACGAAGACCACAGTGTCAACAAGGTTCAATTTCGTTTACCGCCATAAGAATAACAAGGGAAATTAAGCGTGCCGCGCCTTAAGGAATCTCGGTCTAACTCTCACCGTCTCCCAGCCAGCGGCGCGGCGCGGCGCCGCGCCGGCAGAGTAAGGGATTGTGGGTTGTGAGCTGTGACTGTGATCAAGTCACACTTTAGAACGAGTTTTGGTAACAGTTGTGACTTGTGAATTCTCGATATCTGTGATTAAATCACAGTTAGTGAAATATCGCTCATCACTAGTTTTAACAAAATGTCGTCTCACATGTAATATTTTTAACTTGTTCGGGTGGATTGATATTTTTCACATTTAACGAAGGTATCCGTCGTTTTACATACAAACCCAATGTCCCCGTCCTTTTGTTTTTTATACTGATTACAATTTCGATCTTATCTACGTTCGTTCTGAAACACCTTGTGGCTGCAACCTTACCGACGAGTAAGTTGTCTGACAATTTAAATCTGTCCTGTTTTCTTTGCTAGCATCACAATTGTGTTTTCAGAATCCTGATGAAGGCGCCATAGAGAATGCCGAAAGCTTGATTTTATCGTCAAAAGAGTCAACTTAAGCCTAAGAGTTTTGCCAATTTTCCCAATTAACAAGTAATTATACTTTGTACCCTATATACAGGGTGACTTCGAAGTTGAGTCATTTATTTTAACAGTGAGTAGATCTGATCAAAAGAAATGTTTTTTTCCTTTACCATTTTTCTGGTAAAATTAAAGTAACAAAGTTATAGCCCTTTGGAAGTTTGAGTACCGCCCTGTCTCAATAATGATATTATGTTCTCGTGTTTGGCAACAACAGATATAATCCGCCTTATCCGTTCATCGCATCGGAAACAAAAAGCGAAAGAATTTGGAACGATATTTTTACAATTAGTTTCTTCAGTTGTATACAGTCAGTATCAGTCGGTAGTCGGTAACGCGTAAGTGAATTGTCGTGTCTGTTGCGAGGCTCAAATCAAAAATGGCACATGTTTACGAAAATGCTGAACTTGTGGACATGGTTCTTATTTACAAAATGCTGCCGAGGCATCACGGATCTATGCGGATCGGTTTCCCAATCGAGTGCAACCAACCCCTCGTGCCTTTGTTAATGTAGTGCAAAGAGCTCGTGAATCAGGTGACTTAAGACCTCACAGAGGAGATCATGCCGGTGCTCCAAGACCACACGATCAAATAGAACTAGAAGAACAAATTTTAGAATTAGTAAGTGATGATCCAACAGTAAGCACCCGACAAATTTCAACTCAATTGGCGATTAGTCAATATAAAACTTGGAAAACTCTACGTGAAAATCAGTTCTATCCGTTTCACATACAAAAAGTGCAGGCCTTACAACCGGAAGATCATGAACAAAGGGTTGACTTTTGCAATTGGCTTTTAAATAAACATCAAAATGATGACAATTTTTTAAATCAAATTTTAGTGAGTGATGAAGCCCTCTTTACTAGAAACGGAATTATTAATTCACGTAATTCTCACGTTTGGGCTATTGAAAATCCCCATGAAATAAGGGAAACCAATTTTCAACAGCGATTTGAACCAATCAACCTGTGGGCGGGAATTGTTAATGGAATTTTAGTGGGGCCTTTTGAATTACCAAATCGCTTAACTGGTGAAAATTATTTTGATTTCTTGCAACACAATTTGCCTGGTTTACTGGAAGATGTGCCTTTAAATATTAGACAAAACATGTGGTTTTTACAAGATGGGGCACCACCCCATTATGCAAGAAATGTGCGTGAATTTTTAAATAGACAATTTAATAATCGTTGGATCGGCCCTGGCGGTTTTGTACCTTGGCCGCCAAGGTCTCCGGACTTAAATCCTTTAGACTTTTGTTTGTGGGGTTGGCTAAAAACTCTAGTGTATAAAACACCGGTTAATACACGCGAAGAATTACGTGCTCGAATTGAGGAAATGAGTACAGTGATCAGAAATCAACCAGTGATTTTATTGCGTGCTTGTAAAGAGACATGGCTAAGACGCGCCCAGCTGTGCGTCGAGCAAAACGGAAATCATTTCGAACAGTTTTTGTGACATGCTTTTGGGCGCACAGGTCCGCACTGAAATACTTGTCGGGAGGATACTTTATAAAACAAGGTAACATTTTTTTTTATTTTTACACACATATTTTGGTTTATCTTCCTTCTACAATCATTATCTGAAAATTAATGACTCAACTTCAAAGTCACCCTGTATATATATATATATAACAAAAAATAGAAAAATAATATATATATATATATATATATATATACAGGGTTATCCAAATTAAGTGTCCACCATTAGTAACTTTGTTATTAGTGAAAATACAAAGTTGTTTGAATTAGCAAACTACGCTGGTAAAAATGAGAAATAAAAAAAAACAATTGAGAGTCGTTATTTTGATTTTTTTTCAGTAAACTAACATTTTTTTAAATGGAAACCCCTGTATATTATATTTTTTTCTGTTAAAGCATCAAATTTTAAACAAAAAAGCTTACAATAACTTTTCTCCTAGGTTACAAATTGTTGAAGTTATGGCCTCCAATCTGAAACAATTAAATTGTATCGACAAACTTTATTTTCAACATCAACTTATAATCTTACAAAATACAATAACAATTTTTTTTAAAGAAGATGCTCGAAAACACCACCTTGTTCTTCAATACATTTTTGGGCACGTTTTTCAACTGCTCGAACTGTCTTAAGTATGGTCCTACCATCTATCTGGGTTATCTTTTCCCTAACTGCAGTCTTTAACGCGTCAAGGTTATCGTACCTTCGCTTGTAAATTTGGTTCTTTAAGTAACCCCACAAGAAGTAATCAAGTGGGTTTAGATCTGGTGATCTGGGAGGCCACTGTATTGGGCCATTTGTTCCTATCCACTGATCATTAAAAGTACTACTTAGAAAATGATAAGTACCTCTGGAGTTGTGGGCAGGTGCGCCATCTTGCTGAAAATGCAGATGATGTCTACTTATAAGATCCAATTCGTCTAAGAAATTAGTCAGAATTTCTGACATAAATTCCACATATCTTTCACCAGTTAGGGTTCCCTCATAAAAGAACGGGCCAACAATTTTTGAACCAATTATACCGCACCAAACGTTGAAACTGAAACGGACTTGTGGGCCTCTTGGATGTACTAACAAAATATTTTCTCTTGACCAATAATGGTGGTTTTTTCTATTAAACATTCCAGAATTTGAAAAATTTGATTCATCTGTCCATAAAAGGTAACGAAAGTTATTTACATTTTGGCGACAGAAGCTAAGATACCAATGGCAAAAAACAAGTCTTCTCTCTGGATCCCCTGCCAAAAGCGTTTGAACTGGTCGGTACTTATACGGAATAAATTTGTATTTTTTTAAAATCCTTTGAACAGTACCATAACTGAAATTAGAGTCCTTGAGAATATCTGCTATTGAATTCTCACGATAAGCTTCAAAATATCCAATAACTGCAATTTCCGTGGCCTCGCTTATTATGAATTCTTTTTTTGCCCTTGTTTTAGCAAAAACATTTTCGTTGCCCCTAAATTTTCGATAAAGTCTCAGAAAATATCGTTCATACGGTTGAATGCGAGCGGGATATAATTCACTGTAGTATTCTCTTGCTCTCAAGGAGGATTTTCTGCACACTAAATAGCATTCTAACATATCACACTTTTCTTCATGGGAGAACATTTTTCTTTAAATTAATGACACAATAAAGCTTATAAACAAGTATTTACACTAGTGTTTGACATTATTTGATTTTATCATTGTTTTCCAAAGCCTTCTAGTTGCGAGTATGTCCAGTTTAACAATTTGTCGCTTATCTT